ATGACACAGTCAAACTGCTAAAAACCAAAGTTTAAGATAAAATCTTGAAGGAGGCCATAGGAAAAAAAAAAGGAACAAAGATAAAAATTACAACCGATTTCTTGTCAGAAACTATGCAAGTAAGAGGTAAATTGAGTGACAGCTTTAAAGTACCAAAAGAAAAAAGCATCAACCCAGAATACTATACCTAGAGAAAATATCTTTCAAAACTGAAGGCGAAATAAAGATTTTTTCAAACAAACAAAATGTGAGATAATGCATTGCCAGCAGATCTGTGCTGTAAGAAATGTTAAAAGGAATTCTTCAGGCAGAAGGAATATGGTACTAGATAGAAATAGGGACCTACAGAAAGAAATGAAGTGTTGGAAATGGTAAAAATTAGAGTAAATATAAAAGTTTGTTTTTCTTATTTTTCATCACAAAGATAATTGACTAAAGCAAAAATATTAACAACGTATGGTGGGTTAATAATATACGTAAAATTAAGTGTATGAAAACAATAACACAGAAGATGAAACAGGAATTGGAAGAAAAAAATATACATAGTAAGACAGTATTGGACATATAACGGAATCATAAAAAAATTCAATTAAAAAATAAGCAGAAAAAGAAAAACATAATAAGAGACAGAGCAAACAGAAAGCAACTAGCAAGATGAGAGATTTAAACCCAACCATATCAATAATTACATTAAATATAAATAGTCTAAATATACCAATTAAAGGCAGAGATCTTCAGATTGGATTAAAAAACAAGACCCATCTATATGCTCACTATAAGAAACCCACTTTTAATAGAAAGAAATAGGTTAAAAGTAAAAGAATGGAAAAATATATACCATGCAAACACTAATCAAAAGGAAGCTGGGGTGGATATGTTTATATTATACAAATTAGACTTCAGAACAAGAAATATTACTAAGGGTAAAGAGGGATATTACATAATGATAAAAGGGTCAATTGATTAAGAAGACACAACACTCCTAAATACATATGAACCTAACAACAGAGCTTCACAATACATGAAAGAAAAACTGATAGAACTAAACAGAGAGAGAAAGAAACTCACAACTATACATGGAAGTTTCAACACTCCTCTCTCAGAAATTAGAGCAAGTAGACATAAAAATCAGTAAGGATATGGAAAAGTTAAACAACATTAACAACCAACTACACCTAACTGACATTTATAGAACACTTCACCCAATAACAGCATAATACACATTATTTCAAGTGTTCATGGAACATTCACCAAGATGGACCATATTCCAGTCCACAAAACAAACATCAACAAACTTAAATGAGTTGAAATTTCAAAGGGTGTCTTCTGACCACAATGGAATTAAACTAAAAATCAACCGCAGAAAGGTATCAGGAAAATTTCCAAATACTGAGAAATTAAACAACATGCTTCTAAATAACCCATGAGAAAGTCACAAACAAAATTTAAAAATATTTTAATTAAATGAAAATAAAAACACAACATATAAAAATCTATGGTTGGTGAGTAGCATCTGGGATCTTAAAAGCTGGCAAAAGGCTGTCTAAGATACAACTGGTGGTCTCTTTCTGTCCAGAGTAAAGGAGAGTGAAGAAAACCAAAGACTCAAGGGAGCAATTAGTCCAAACAACTAACGGACCACATACACCACAGCCTATATGACGCCGAGACCAGAAGAACTAGATGGTGCCCAGCTACCACTACACAATAGGGGGTCCCAGACAGAGTAGAAGAAAAATGTAGAAAAATCAAATTCATAAAAAAAAGACCAAACTTACTGGCCTGAAAGAGACTGGAGGAACCCCCAAGACTATGGCCCTAAGACACCCCTCTGACTTGCAACTGCTGCCATTCTCGGAAACCACCTCTCAGCCAAGTACCAGACAGGCCTATAAAATAAACAATAAGACCCAAAAAGAATGTGCTCTGTAGAAGAAACAATTAAACAAAACCAAAAGGGCAACATCTGCCCAAAAATAAAGATGAGAAGGCAGGAAGGGATAGGAAAACCAGACGAAAGGAAATAGGGAACCCAGGGTGGAAATGGGGAGAGTGCGGACACAGTGTGGGGACTGCAACCAATGTCATGGAACAATCTGTGTACAATTTGTTGAATGAGAAACTAATTTGCTCTGTAAACTTTCACCTAAAATATTTTTTAATAAAATATTTTTTTAAAAAAAGAGAAAGAATGACCAAATGTTGTAAAATAAGAGATGAAATTTTATTACAATAGAAAGGTCAGGCTAGACAATGTAATGACTTGACTTTATTTTGAGAGATTTTTAAGTAATCGTGAGCCAGGACCAACTACCTAACACTCCTGCCCCTAAGTGGTCACATCTAGTATGAGATGGCTGAAATGTAAAGTCTCTTTCAGCTCTAACGTTTTATGAGATCTTAGAACTCTAAACTCTTTGTGAGAGCTTAGACCTCAGATCAGCTTGCCAGGAGTGGCCTGTCCCTGGCAAAAGTTAGGATCAGTCTCTTTCTATCAGCAAGAGATAATTAAGTAGGGAAGGCTCAGAATGCAGAAGACAATGTTGAGGATGTAACTGATATCCAGAGTTGGCCAATTAGGAATCAGCTGAAGTACTGAAAGGAATGATGCTGAGAATGTCAGCCCTGCCGATAAGACCTTGACTGTTCTGCCCTCTTTGACAACAGCAATGCTTAGGGAGCAAGTGCAATTACTTTGATCATAAGTATTGAGCTATTCTGAATTCTACTTTCGTATATATCCCTCATTGTCTATAGTAAAAACTGGATGGCAAGTAAAATGCCAAAAAAGGAAAAACCAAACCCATTGCTGTCAAGTCGATTCCGACTCATAGTGACCCTATAGGACAGAGCAGAACTGCCCCGCAGGGTTTACAAGGAGTGGCTGGTGGATTTGAACTGTGGACCTTTTGGTTAGCAGCCATAGCTCTGAACCACTGCACTACCAGGGCTCTGGCAATTAAAATATATACTCTAAATTTAAAAGTTGCAATTTTGTTTGAAATACATTATTATAATGGTATTGTGTTATGTTTTTTAGAAAAAAGAGTCCTTTTTTAAAGATATGCATTGAGATATTTATGGATGAAATGATGTCTTGGGTTTGCTTCAAAATAATTCAGAGATGGGGGAAGAGGGTGGGGTTTATGAACTTCTGCATAATAAAAAGGTAAAAAATTACAGTAAAAAAAGCTATGGAACACTGCTAAAGAAGTGATTGGGGGAAATTTACAACATCAAGGAATCCTGGTGTAGCAACAGTTAGTGCTCAGCTGCTAACTGAAAGGTCAGTGGTTTAAACTCACCACCCTGCTCCTTGGGAGAGAGATGTGTCAATCTGCTTCCATGAGATATAGCCTTGGAAACTCTATGGGGCAGTTCTACTCTGTCCTACAGAGTCGCTATGAGTCAGAATCGACTCAACAGCAATGGGTTTGGTTTTATTTTTTATAGCATTAAATGCTTATGTTAGAAAATAAGAAAGGTCTCAAATCAATGATGTAAGATGCCACCTTAAGAAACTAGAGCAAATCAACTCAAAGTAAGCAGAAGGAAGGAAATAATAAAAATACAAACAAAATTAACAACAGAAAAAAAAAAATCAATGAAACTAAAAGCTGGATCTTTGAAAAGGTCAATACAACTGATAAACCTCTATCTAAACTGATCAAGGGGGGAAAAAAGAGACACAAATTACCAACACAAGGAGTGAGAGAAGAGACATGACTACAGACCCTAAAAACGTTAAAAGGGTAATAAAGTAACACTACAATCTTATCTCAATTAGTTCCACAATTTAGAAAAATGGTTCAATTCCTTGAAAGACCCAAGCTACCAAAGCTCACATGAGAAGAAATAGATAACCTGAATAGTGCTATTATCTCTTAAATCGAATTACTAGTTAAAAACCTGCCACAGAAAACTCCAGGCCCAGATGGCTTCACTGATGAATTCTATCAAACATTTATGAAGAAATAATATCGATTCTATGCAAATTGTTCTAAAAAATAAAAGGAAAGAACACTTTCCAACTCGTATTACGAGGTCAGCATGACCTCAATTCTAAAATCAAAGACATTACAAGAAAAAAAAACAAAACTACAGATCAATATTCCTCATGAACATAGATGCAAAAATCCTCAACCAAATATTAGTAAATCTGATCCCACAATATGTAAAAATAGCAAACCTCTTTTAAAAGGGTTAATTTATGTTTTAATCCTTACTGAGATTACCCAAGGACAATAAGTGGCATCTCATTCCAGTCTAAACTAAGCCCTGATGTAAGCACAGATTTTATATATCTAACTTTACAAAGTTACTTTCAAAGAAAAGGCACAGCAGATAGCTAATTTAGGGAGTTAAGAAGCAGATTATAGTGTAGTTGAAACACTACAGGAGAAATTTAGGGTTATAAAAAACTTTGGGGTTATACAGCTTCATGAACACACACTTAACTAAAGGGTGATAAGCCTATCTACATGGTTTCTAACAAAGAAATTTAGTGAACATTATTATATTAAAAAACTCAGCCCAGTTTCCTCAAGGGTTCTAAGACTACAACTCAAAGATAATCCCTAATCTACTTTCTGAACAGAGCATGACTGGTACCATATACAGGCAGTCCCTGGATTATGAACAAGTTCCGTTCCTAAATTTGTATGTAAATCAGAATAATTAGGTACAGTTCATATCTACTGTCAGTTAGTCAAATATTTGTCTTAATATACAGCATATAGTGTATCTTTCTATGCATAAAAAAAATTAAAGAAACACTTTCAGATACACTAAAGCATCTTTAACATAATACAGTAATATTAATAATGTTTTGATGCATGTCACAAAGTAGCCCCATTTGTTACTACAAACTATTGCACGTACCTTTAATTTTTAATGTAATAGGGTTTACAGGGGTTGGTTCTTAACTATGGGTTGTACGTAAATCGGACATTCGTAACCTGGGGACTACCTGTATATCCAGCATGGCTTAAAATACTTACCTTCAACCTGGCTAATATCTGAGCATGGTTTCTTCTTTGACTCTGAGTTCCCGGTTTTTTCATCAACATCCATGAGAGGAATATAATCTGTTTTTCCAACAGTTTCTCCCACAACATCATCAAAGGCCTCTGCCTCCAATGTGGCAATAAAGTCCCGCTTTATCTCTTCCTCAATTTCTGGAGATGGTTCCGTTAATGCATCTGCAAGACTGAGGTCAGCCATTCTGCACCGCTGCAATTGCCTGTTTAAATGGGAAAAGATGCCCCATGATGAGCACTGCAAAGAGAAAAACATTCCTAGAAACTCTCACTGGCTGCTTTAAACAAGAATCAAAATCTAAAATTTTAAAGCTAGAAGAGGTTCCTTTCCTTTTACAAGTTACAAAATTACGGCCCAGAAATGATACAACATCTCTGGGAGAAAGGCAGAGTAAGTGTCATTTTGTACTCTTCATTAGTGAGAAAAATGAAGTGCAAAAAGAAATAATCAACTTATCCAAGGTTACAGCCAGTAAGACTCAAATGAGGTCTTCTGATGTCAATTCCTATACTCTTTCAATTATTCCATATATATTTCCTTCCAAATCATGTCCCAGAATAATTTTTTAAAGAATATACAAAAAGAGGTCAGATCAGATTATATTCCCATTCATAAAGTTACATTCCTATCAGGCAAATGATGTCACCTTTCTTGACCAAAGACTATCAGTATGGACCTTAACTTGTTGGGATAAGTACTGCTTCTTCATGAATCACCTGTGTATAGCCCTGTGAACAAAACTACAACACCTAGCCCTATCGGCATGAAAAAAAATGTAGACATATTCCTTGTACCAGCTAAGGGAGACGGTGTCTCTCTGTGGCCATATATTTCATCATCTTTATAGAAAACCAGGCTCTTAATTTTTAAATATAATCTGAAGTTAACAAATACAGTCTATTATAGGCAAAGCTTTAGGTGACTAGCCTAGAAAACACAGAAATAATGTAGTAAAAACAGCTATCAAACCAAAAACCAAACCTGTTGCCGTCTATTCCGACTCATAGCGACCCTATAGGACAGAAAAGAACTGCCCCATAGAGTTTGCAAGGAGCACCTGGTAGATTCGAACTGCTGACCTTTTGGTTAGCAGCTGTAGCTCTTAACCACTGTGCCACCAGGGTTTCCAAAAAGAGCTACAGAGCTTGCAATAAATCAAGCATCTACTACATGCAGAGCACAGCAGGAAGTAAAAAAGATGTTCAGGGCACTGTATCTGCTTTCAATGAGTGTAATTTAATAGAGATTTTAAAAGACTCATAAGGATAAGTGAACTACGAGCTGTATTCTTGACTGAGTTAATGTAAGTAAAACAGCAATCCTTAGTTGCATGGTGTAATGGCTATTGCTTCTGTCTGCCTAGAAATTTATTCTTCCTTATCCCCCTCTCCCACACCAATACCTACCCCCATAGGGTTAGGTACATGACTAGAGTTGGGCCAATCAGAAGATAGCAAGAAAATGGGTGGAACACTGGAAAGGTTGGAATGCTTCTGGAAGGAAGGCCTACAAGCAGCAGCTGTTCAGTCACCTGGTTGTTTTCAGTCACCTGGTTGTTTTCTTTCTCAAGCTTAAATGAGTGACCTTCCAATAAATCTTTCTTTTGCCTAATTTAGTCAATCTATTTCTGTTGCTTGCAACCAAAGAATCTCAACTAATATACATAGTCTTTCCCCCTTCTTTGCAGCTCAAATTTTTAAAAAGTCAAAATTTAGTATGATTCAAGCCACTTAATGATCAACCTCTCTCCAACAAATGAACTTGGGAAAAAGGAACACAAGGCAAGGAATACAGTCATTCTATCTTCATTTCCTTTCGCCCATATACTCCTCTCCTCCAACTTACACTACCCTTCTGTGCTACAAATATAAAAGTCACACACAGACCTTTTACAATCCTTATTTCTGTTTAGTTTCCTGAATAGGACTAACCTACCACATTACAAAACATGCACAAAGCAAATACTTCCAGAACACTGAAAAATCAGAAATCACCCCACCCCAAATTTCCAAATTCAGCTCCTAAAAGGTTTTTCCAATGTTGCAAAAAATATGAGAATGGTAGTACAGGGCGTACGAATTGAGATAATAAATGAGAGACTAGCATAGATTGTAAACTCAGTTTACATAAAACAAAGTCCAGAGGGAAAAACTGAGCCCAAAAGCAAGTCCTACTTCTTCCAGACAAATGCCTAGAAAGAAAAAATATTTGTCCAGTATATGGACTACTGTAGGGGGTCGTCAATATCTACATAAGGCTTGGTGAAAACATTGCACATTCTTTACACTATATAACTGTAAGAAAAAATAAAATACCAAGATTTGGAAAGATATTAGGTCCTGAATTTGTATGGACTTCCAAATAAAATCTTTAAAAAATTTTTAATGATAAACTTGAGCCTGCTTCTATGAACCCGACATTTTTTTTTATGTCCGTTTTCCTATTTGAAATGGCTACCATAATTCCTAATCAAGACTTTTTAATGTGAAATCTTTTCAAATTCCAGATGATCTCACTGATGAGAAACCATGTTCACACAAGACGATGGTAGAAAGAGCTTTTCCTCTGATTCCTTTTCTTAAAACAAACGTGATGTTTAAATTTCCTGTGATGATGTTAATGGGTTCCTAAACTGTATCAAACTTTTTAATAGTATTTAAATATAATGAGGTTTTTGCTTCAAGCACAAATGCTGCACTACTAATTTTAATAAAATTTGACTCCTAAAGAGGGGCTAAGTATCACTGCTAATGTAATTTTAACTGTGCCGTGCGATGGCTTTCTCTTACATATGGCCTTTCTGGCCTTGGGTTTATAATTCTGCAAAAATGATTGGCGGGGCCACAATCTTGCAAGGGATTGGTTAGTCTACTATGCAAATAGGGTATGTAAGACCATCCAATAGGATTAGGTGACCTTGTGGGAACTGGTGGGCCTACTATGCAAATTAAGTGATGTGGTCTACCAAGAGGACTGGTCAGTTCATGGTCTCGCTGGGAAGGCCATGCCTTGAAACTGAATTTAAGGGTCAATCCCAGAGAGGTTGAGGGGATCTCACTACCATCAAGAAGAGCCTGAATGGGGACCTCATACTATCAAGAAAGCAGTGCCAGGAGCAGAGCACGTCCTTTCGACAGGGGTCCCTGTGCCGAGAAGCTCCTAGCCTGGGGGAACACTGATGAGAAGGCCGACAGACACAGAAGGACTTCCCCTGGAGCTGACACCCTGAATTTGGACTTTTAGCCTACTTTGACTGTGAGGAAATGAACTTCTCTTTGTTAAAACCATCCACTTGTGGAATTTCTATTATAGCAGCACTAGATAACTAAAACAGAATTTGGTACCAAGAGAGTGGGGTGCTGCTCTAACAGATACCTAAAATTTGGAAGCAGTTTTAAAACTGTGAATGGATAGACATGCGGCAGTGACAGAGGACCAGCAGCAGCAGAGGACCTACAGCAGCAGAGAAGCGGCAGCAGCAGAAAACCAACAGCAGCAGAACCAGGAGACCAGTGCGAGATGGCGCTGGAGCCGACCCACGGAGCGAGAGAGCTGAATGCCTGTTGTGCAGGAGGCTTCCTGGCAGAGTGGGGTGCCTCTGGGCACTTATCGGTGGAGCTAGGCGTGACGACCCACGGAGCAAGAGAGCTGAGTGTCTGTGTGCACAAGGCTTTCTGGCGGAGTGGGGTGCCTCCGGGCACTTATCGGTGGAGCTACAAGAGCTTTGGAACACTTGCCCCAGCGGGGCAGATGCAGGCATGAGGCCTGAGGGCCAAGAGGCCACAGGAAGCAGAAGCTGAAGAGACAAGCGACACAAGAAGCCGAGCTGCCTCAGTCTCAAAAGGTATGGCCATGACCTCAGGGGTTTCAAAGGGTGGAGCAATGGCTTCTGGTGCTTCTAAGGGTGGAGTCGCCACTCAGATGGACTCGGAGAATGGTGCACCTAAAGCCAAGGGAGCAGAGTTGCTGTCCCTGTGGGCCTGGAAGGCAGAGCTGAAGCCCAGGGCTGATGGGCCTCCACTCAGAATTCAGAGACTGTGGCCAATACCTAGAGTCTGGAGGGCAGGGCCATTGTGTAAAGTGTCTCAGAGAACAGAAGATTATTTTCAAAGCCTTGAGGGCTAATGTAATGTGTTCTGCTGACTTGCTTGGTGCCTGTTATGCCTTCTTTCCCTCCAGTTTCTCCCAGTTGTAATGGAAATGTCTAGCTTGTGCCTGTTCTGCCATTGTACCTCTGGAATCAGATAACTTGTATTCTAGATTTCAGAGATGAAGAGGAATTTTTGGATTTTGGACTTGGAGTTAAGGCTTTTGCTATGATATGATGGGGTGAATACGTTTTCCATGTTGTAAGGATGTGATTTTTGGGGGGCCAAAGGGTGGAATGTCATGGTTTGAATTATGTCCCCCAAAAAATGTGTGTATCAGTTTGGCTAGGCCATGATTCCTGGTACTGTGTGATTTTCCTGTATGTTGTAAACCTGTCTCTATGATGTTAATGAGGGAGGATGGGTGGCAGTTGTGTTAGTAAGGCAAGACTGGATTGTGTCCTGAGGCAATCTCTTGAGATATAAAAGACAGAAGTGAGCAGAGAGACAGGGGGACCTCATACCATCGAGAAAGCAGTGCCAGGAGCAGAGTGCGTCCTTTGGACCAGGGTCCCTGCACAGAGAAGCTCCTAGTCCGGGGGAACACTGAAGAGAAGAAGGCCGACAGAGAGGAAAAAGCCTTCCCCTGGTGCTGATGCCCTAAATTTGGACTTTTAACCTACTTTGACTGTGAGGAAATAAACTTCTCTTCATTAAAACCAAAAAAAAAAAAAGAAGAGCCTGAAGTGGAGTGTGTCCTTTTGACTGAGGGTCCCTGTGCTGGGAACCTCCTAGACACGGGAGAGAGAGAGTTGTTAACACTGGAGACAACATGAGATGGTGAGAAACAGAGGCTACCACAGCAGAGCCCAGCAGCAGAGAAAAGGAGACAGCAGTACGAATGGCAAGAACTATGAGACTGGCGGACAGCTGTGGTGGACTTGCTAGTCTATGAAGCAAGAGAGAGCTGAGTGCCTTGCCTTCAGGCAGGAGGCTTGCCGGCAGAGCGGAATGCCTCCACACTTCCAGACTTGTTGGCAGAGGTAAAGAGCTGTAACACTTGCCTGAACAGGGCAGAAGTCAAGAGGAGTCTGGCTGCCATGGCCAAGAGAAG